CAAATTCTTTAAGTAGTTGGTACCAGCAAACACTGATAGTTTTGCGTGGGAAATCACACACATTATGAATCAATTATCAACAGACGAGTGAAAAATTACAGCAAAAACCTGAATAAATGAGTGGTCTCTTCCTGGATTACAATGCTGTATGTATGAAAATAATATGAATCATATGCTATGGCCTGGGTGGCACAGTGGTATGGTGGTTAGAGCCATTGCCTCACAGCCTCTGTGGTTGGTAGTCATTAAAATCTATGCAGACAAGGGACTCAAGTGAAGGGAGTGAGTGAATGGTAAAGCAGAAGAGACCGATAACAACATGTTGATTAGTTAAGGGTCCTTTATCAACCACAGACATCAGAAGGAGGGGAAACAGGGGTACATGGGCTGACGAGAGAAAAGGCTAGACCAGGGCAATAAAGAAAACAAATAGTCCTCCTTATGGCTCTTCTGTCTCTCTAATGCCAGAAGGACACAAAACAGAGTGAAAGAGTGAGAGGAGAGGGCATGTGCAAGGACATAGTGTATCTCTTGCTTCAAGTGTTTCAGAGAGTCAAACAGTGAAAGCGCAGAAGGAAGAGGAAGGGGTGGATGGAGGGGGGCTAGGGAAAACAGACAGAGCTCTGTTTTTAGTGGACAGATAGCAGACTCCCCTCTCCTGCCAGGATGATTAAAACCAAGTAGACACTCGAAGTGAGAGGGTGAGAAACATGGGGCCTGGATGCTGATGGTGTTAGTAGAGGAGAATAGAAACAGTGAATGAGTAAGTGAAAGACTGATCAAAGAGATGTAGGAGGAAATGCTCAAAATCATGGAGGTTGTAAGGTTACTCAGTCTTCATATTGGTAAAATAAGGCACAAAGAAGTTTTTAGATCAAGGAAAAGGGGAAAAAAATGGCTTTGAATAGAAACAAATGTTGCGTTACAGCTGCAAAGGTAGAACTGGAGTTGTTCATGATATTATTTTGTTGTCCTCAGAAATAAAAAGAAATCTGTGATCTTTAAATAGTAGGGTACAGAACCTTTTGTTTGGTCTCAGTCTCACTTTTGTCTTAAGAAATTGTCAGCAAATATTATCTGCTGTAGTTTGACTTGACAAAATTAACACAGCTGTGAAAAAGTGAAGTACTGTGACAGCAAGGAGGTGCTTAGTCATTAATCCCACCATGCAGGGTACGACAAACCTGTGCAGTACTTAAGTGAATGTACTGAGGTGCTTGCTGCCACTGTGCTGTTGTGCTGGTATCTTCTGTAACACTGTAACACTGGAAACATTTAGGAGACACTTAGCTAGCAGCTTACAGTTGAGTCAGAACAAAGTATCAAATGTTTTGATAAAAGAACAGGAGTGAGCACACGTCATACAGAGGCAAGACACAGCAGGACCTGGCTGTACTGAGAGTGTGTCTGGAAGGCGGATTTGGTGCTGTGCAAACATCTCGCATTGTTGATATCACCAGCTTGTGACGCAACCGCAGCTTCTGCTTAGCTCGTCTGCTTCCTCTTTTTTGTTGGTTTGGTCTGGTACGCTGCCAGTGTGGTTTAGCAAAGTGGGCCCGCTGGAGTCAAGCATGTGTACTGCATGCTGACAGCCAAAATGTACTGTGTGATTCACATGCTTCTGCTGTTTCTGTTGCTATATGTATATTGTATCAAGGGGTGAGACTCAAACACCCCCAGAAATGTCTTAGATGACCCATGGCATTGTTCTGCCTCCATAAGCAGCACTGGTTTACCGTACAAGGATGAATAAATTAACTAAAACCTTTAACCCAACATGCCAGTTGATGTACACAGTCACAGGTCAACAAAAATGCAAACTTCCTGCTTAGATTATTATTTTTCGTCTCTGTGTTATTGGAACATTACTTATGAAGATGTCAAGGAGGTTAGGCAGTAGCCTGGGAAATGTTGATTAATCTGTAGAGACAGTGACTTTTGTCAGAGTCAAAAGTAAAGAAAACAAGATAAAAATAAAAACATGGAGGCTGCAAGAAAATGTTTGGCATGCTTCCATCCTTTTTGCAAGGCTTGTTCAGAGACAGAGAGCTAAAGCGGCTTCATACTTCAGACTACTATCTGTCTCACCGCGTTAATTTGTTATTCTGTTTATGTTTTTTTTTGATAACAAAGAAGTTTTCCCTGCATATCGGTCTTTTATTATTGTGTTCATGTTGCAGCTGTTACCAATTATCGGCAAAAGGCTGATCCAAAGTACAGTGTGTTCCTGCTATGTACTGTAAAGATCACCCAAGGGAAAGTGTTTATAACAACACAGCGTAGGTCATCAGTGCGACAGTGATCACAAACCAAGCTTATCTGACAGAACAGAACGGCCATCGGTATTTAGAAACCAAAAGGAACTTGCGTTGCACTGAGATACCTTGTCTGCAGATTTTTACTGTGTTGCTGATGTTGGTAGATGACATACCGTATGATGGCTATCGCTTTTTTCCAGCTACTCGTCCCTGTCAAAGCATCACTAGTTATGATTTGCTGCACAAAGCCTTTGCTGTATTGAGCCCACAAGTGCCACTGACTTGTGAGTGAATGGTGAATGACAGATGACATTTCTGTGAGACTGTTGGAACAAAGTGCATACTGTAGATAGATACCAGAAAATTGGTTATTGCTGCAGAAGTGATTTGAGAAGTTTTTCCGGAGGGTTTCACACTTTTTAAACGTGTTTTTCGTACATTGTATCTTGTTTCAAGCTGACCATAGCCTCTTGCATAGAAGTGTGACTTTAATGTCGGTTTAAGTGTGGCTGTTGTCCTTTTGCCCTGAGCCTGTTTCCCTGTCCTCTTCTAGCATATTTATACTTCTGTCTGTTACTTGTCTGTGTTTAAAAGTGGCACAAACAGTGTGCCCAACTGTGTTAACCAAATCCTCCGTGTTAGTCATGGAAAATGTGGTCACAGAAGAGGATTATGGTGGTTGTCGGGGGTTACTCTGTTCTCGTTCAACCCTCAGTGTCCACGTATCAGCAGAGCAGCCCAGGTGAAACAGGATGGCAGCACATCCACGTCACAAAATGAAGAAAGAAAGCCTTTGCAAAATGTTTGGATGAACGTAAAGGACTTTTGCTTTTGATTTTCACAGAATATATGAAGTAGCTAGGGATTGTTCTTTATCTCACAGGGCAGTTGGTGTGTGTAGTGGGGGGTTAATGAACCAACCAACCTCAATATAAATATCCAGGAGGCCCGACAAGAATAACAGCATTTTTCTGCTCTTCTGCTCTGTTTCCAGTGTGTCTGTGTTTTTGTTTATTGTACCAGACAGTCTTGCATATGGGAATTGTGAGAATGAGTTTTTATAGTCTGCATATTATATAGACTATAGATTAAAGTAATCCATAATCAGTATAACACAGTGACACAGTGTTTGGAGGGACAGAGGAACTGGGGTTGACTGTAGGTTAACCAAACATGGTAGTTTTATCCATTTAAAATTCAGTCTATTGTACAAAAAGTACGGAAAAAGTGAAGAGGTCTGATACTTTATGAAGCCCTTAAATATGCATCTGTTCATTTAATTTGTTCAGTAACATAAGGCGATGTATGTCATTGTTGTTTTTCTTTTTTTTTTTACAGTTATGTGGCCAAAAATCTAGATTGATATAGTAAACAGCTGCAACAAAGTCTGACATCCTAACAGGGACCATTTTGTATCCTTAAGTTTTAAAGTAAATTTAATATTGCCATTTTCTGTTCCATTTATCATAAAGCACAAGAGATTTTAAAAACGCTTTGTGAGAGCACTTGACAAGTCAGCTGATTAGTGTGTGTTTTTCTTGGAGGGAGCCATATTTCTTTGTCAGTTGTATTTTGAGTTCGTTGAAGTATGTACTGGGGTGCATGAGAGTCTGTACCCCCATTTGCATGTTTAAGTGTTTATACAAGTTTTATTTGTGTTAAAGTGATGAGTAGGTGTGGATGACAGAAAAGGTCAAGGTTCCTAGAACTTCAGACCATGAATAGATGGATTAGTTTTGGAAAGGTCTGACTGTCTCTTTCTCTCACACACATACAAACAGTATAGACCCTGGGTTCCCAAACCTTTTCAGCTTGAGAACCTGAGAGAAATTTGCTCTCTGTTTGGGACCCATACATCATAAATTGCTACAACATCTGCATTTGTAAAATGCTGATAATAAACGCAACGAATGCTGAATTTAAAATTGTAGCCTAGATTTCATTATAAAAGTGCATCATAGCAATAATGAAATTGCTGAGAGTAATGTTACATTTCTCACCACCTCATAGTGAACTTTGATTAACCTTTGAAGAGTAGTCCAACCTGATCATACGTGTTGATGCACAGAGCTCTAATTTACTTCAGTCACACAACAGCATTCATTAGTGCACCTCTTTTTCTATTTTGATAAGTAAAATGAATTCACATATCATAGCATTGTTATGCATTTTACCCAATTTAAGTAGAACCCTAAGTTTGGGAAGGGCATGTATAGTGTATTTAGCTTGAATGTGAAAAACCATAATGAACATAAAACAGATATGTGAAAATTGGGACACTGGTAAACATCTTCCCTTAAATAGTTTTCTAACATGAAAGCATCAAATTACAGAGGAAAAATAGTTAAACAGAGTTGATAGGAAGACAGTGAAGAGGATAGGAGATGTCCGGAGGAAAGGAACGAAGGGAATCGCACAAAAGGGAAGTGAGCACAAAGCCTGATTCGAAATGAAAGGTCTGAGCGTCTTTTCAACACAGGAAGACAGCACAAGGGTTGCTCTATTCCAAGGGACTGTAACACATGTTCTGCCATATGGCATATGGATAGCTCATAGTGAGGTGTGGCAGCTACACTGAACTTTGTACTTCAGTATGTAGCGTGCTTTGTCACCCTCACATTTCACACATCAGCCTTCATTGATTTAATTAGTTTAATGGTACATTGGTCACTTAAGCTGCATCATCATCTTGTATTGTAGTGGTTACACATTCTTCTCTACTCCTGCTCACTATCTCCCCAGGTCCCTGAGATCATCAGTACGTTGAGGCAGGCTGGCAAGAGCTCTGCACGCAATGATGACTTCACCGCCATTTCCACAGGAAGCAGTGATCCCACTGAAACATGTGTTTCCTCTGTTTCCATGACGACAGCCTCCGCGGCACCCACCGCTGTCGTGTCTCCTACAGCCTTTGCCAAAAAATTCGAGGTGCTGTTTTGTGGCCGTGTGAGTGTTGCTCAAAAGAAAGCCCCGCCTGCCCTCATTGATGAGTGCATCGAGAAGTTTAGCCAGTTGCATGGCTCAGGGACGACTGACAAAGGAGAAAATAGTGGAGGTTTGGTGGGTGGGCTGAGAAGAGCATTCACTTTCCAATCCAATGGACTGGGGAGTGGTGCTGTAGGTAATGGTGATGCAAGGAGCCCCGGCCCTGGGAAGCACCCAGTCCTGTTCAAGCAGAACCCCAGCTTACCCTGTCTGCAGGCTCTGGATGAGAACGGACTTTCGCCAGAGATTTCTCACACCAACACTAGTGATGCACTTGCCTGCTCCGCTGAGGTACAGCCCACCAGCCTGCTGGAGAACAGGACCATGCTGTTCATGGTAATTTTCATAAGTGGATACACACAAAAGTAGTTGTATTCTGTCATGACTACTGACTGAAATGTTCCATTTCTAATTAACTCTGTGCTGATTTACAGAAGTAAAACAATTTTGAGAGTAGTGCAACAGTCTCAAAGCTGCACAGCAGTCCAGGAAAGGCTTGGTCCAAAATGACACACAGTTCTGTCGACACATCAGTGAAATCCAATTATTCAGTGTTCTGCACTGATTCAGACCAGACCCACATCATCTACTTGTGTCTTTAGTGTGAATCATTCCATCTGGCACAGTGGTTTTCTCAGATATCTTTAATGAGAATAGGAAGTGTGCTTTTTAGTAGTAAAGTGCAATCTTGGATTCTTTAAATGACCCAAGGCCTCAAACACAGTCACTCATAAAGGGCTTAAGGGAGAGAACAATATACAGTCAAAAATTTGAATCCCCTAATGACTCAGCCAGAACAAATGCTGACTGCTGCTCAAAATGAGCTCAGTTACACTCCTCTAATTGACCTTTACTTGACCTTAGACACCCCCCTGCCAACAGGAGTTTTCCTGTTTGAAGGACAAACAGGAAAACTCCTGGTCACCACTGGAGCAGGAA